GAAGGTGAACGGAAGGGAAAGAAAGCCGTCATTCTGTTTAGGGCCAGGGAAGGGGGGGGGGACCGAACAGTGTTGGTGTTTCTATGGTGACACCTGGTGTTGTTTTTTGGTTAATGATTCGCAAGCGCTCGGCCACTTCCTTTGGCTCTGGAGCGATTTTCTTGTCCTGTTTGAAAGGGGAGAGAAAAAATATAATCCATTGGGGTTATTTATTAGCTTTGCAGTAACATCAGCCCGGCCCTGGATGATATTACTTCGGGCCAACCGCAGTCCCATGTGCACGTCGCTCGGCACATGCCCGTGTCTGCCATTGGGGCTTCGGTCGCTCGTTTACAGACGCGGGTGTGCACGCCCTCGTTTCCTCTGACTCAGGGCTTTGCAGAATTGCTCCCCATGGAGCCTTGCATCTTTCCAGACCTTTGGCCTTCACACCAGACTTACCATCAGGGTTATCTAAGACCTCTTGCATCAGATGGGGCCCGCCAGTGATATCCAAATGGCTCCCAACTGTCCATCCCTTTGCGCATTTGTATCCAGATGTTTGTTTGGGCACTCTGTTTATATCCTCTCTTCCTCCCCAAAGCAGCTTACGTCATTCTCCGCTCCATTTTGTCCTCACAACTATCCTGTGAGGTAGGCTAGGCCAAGAGTGTGCAGCTGGCCCAAGGTCATCTAGCGTGGGGATTGGAACCTGGGTCTCCCCGATCCTCCTATTCTGACACCCTGCCCACTACACTGCAGTGGCTGGCTGTATCCTACCTTGACACATAAACAACAGTCGCTTCTGTTTTCCTGTGAAATATACACAGGCACGTCCCATCTGCTTTGGCCGGCCGTTCCTTCCTGCATCTTTTCCCCTGCCACAAATTACCTTGGGGCATGTCCAGTTTGGGGTAGTGGATAAGTGTGTGGACCCTAATCTGGGAGAACCGGGTTTGATTCCCCACTCCTCCACTTGCAGCTGCTGGATGACCTTGGCCAAGCCGCAGTTCTGTCAGAGCTGTCCTTGGAAGGGCAGTTCTGGAAAGAGCTCTCTCAGCCCCGCCTACCTCACAGGGTGTCTGTTGTGGGGAGGGGAAGGAGTTTGTAAGCCACTCTGAGACTCCCAAGTGAAGGGCGGAGTATAAATCCAATCTCCTCTTCTTCATCATCCCGGAAGACACAGTGGCTTGTACCCCACGATGTAACTTCATTGTCGGATTGTGTTCCCCGACCAGTGTTCCCTCTACGCTGAGTTAGTGTGAGCTAGCTCACAGTTTTTTAGCTTCCGGCTCACACCTTTTTGTCTCAGCTCAGGAAAGAGGGCTCCAGAGCAAACTGGTTTCTGCCGGAGCCAAATCGCTCGCTCGCTCACCGCTTTAATGCCAGTCGCTCACCAAGACGTTTTGCTCACAAGACTCCACCGCTTAGAGGGAGCATTGTTCCCGACCACATCCCACATCCTGAAATAATGTCATGCCTTCTGGATGCACAACACACAAACTCTTGGGTACACACGGCACACAGCAGACCGGTCTTGACAGACGATGCCAGTCTTCCCTCTGCTTGGCCTAGGAACCCAAACCACCTCTGTGTGCGCGTGATCGTTATCTTTAGTAGTGTTTTCCTGTCCTGTGCAGCAGTATATTTCCTTCCTATACTGGTGACGTGGATGGGCCAGGATAGCTCCAGATCTTGGAAGCTAAGCAGGTCGGCTCCGTTTAGTACTTGGATGGGAGACCACCAAGGAGGTCCAGAGTTGCTCCGCAGAGGAAGTAAAGGGCAACCCCTCCCTGAACGTCTCTTGCCTTGAAAACCTGACCGGGTCGCCGTATGGCACTTTCCGCCAATTTCCCCCTGACCTTCATGGCCCGGGCTAGCATGATCTTGGAAACTAAGCAGAGTTGGGCCTAGTTACTCTTTGGAGTCCGCGCACGTAACCACTACACCAAACTGGCTCTCTATACCAAACTGGCAGTGGCGAACCACCTGTGTTTGCCTCTTGCCCCGCACACCCTACGGGGCTCATCAGAATTTGGCTGCGTCTAGATGGCCCTTGGACTGCAAGGAGATCGAATCAGTCCCTCCTAAAAGAAATCAACTCTGACTGTTCCCCGGAAGGCCAGAGACTGAAGCTGAAGCTCAAATGCTTTAGCCACCAAATGAGAAGGGAGCACTCGCTGGAGAAGACCCCGATGCCGGGAAAGACCGAAGGTCAAAGAAGAAGGGGACGGCAAAGGATGAGATGCAGCGAACATGAAATTAAGCAAACTCCAGAGCACGACGGAAGACGGGAGGGCCTGGCGTGATGTGGTCCATGGGGTCGCAAAGAGTCGGATTCGATTGTGCGACTGAACAACAACAGCAACAACAGACGGCTCTTTCCACCACTGCTGGAGAACCGCAGACCCGAGTCCAGCCAGACTGTGGAAGTGTGGCGGATCGCATCCCCGTCTTCGGTTACACCCAGACGTAATATTCACACACACACACGAAAGAGGCTCCAGTTTCTGACACGCAGCATGAATGGATCACAGCCGCTTGCCCCCCTGTGCAAACCTCCTGCCCAGATCCATTACACGGCAAGGCTTACACCGCAGGAATACAGCAGTCCGCGGCTCTTGAAGACTGTGGCCTGCATTTCGTTGGCAGCTACAAAGTCTCTCTCCCCCCCCCCCCCCGCCGCCGCCCGCTGCATTCTTTTGCTGCTAAGCTTGGGAGGAGCGTGCAAATGGCTCCGCTGAGATCACAGGCTCTCCGGAAATGGAAGGGGATCGGGTTCCCTCTGCAGTGCGAGCTCAGAGCCAGAGACGCTGGAAGAACTCGTAGGGGGCCGTGGGCAGCGTGAACTGCAGCGGGGGCAGGCTGGTGCGGCGCTCCTAAGACTGGGAGCCAGAGCTCTACCAGGGCAGGGGGTGGTTCTTCTGACGGGCGGCAGCCATCGTTTCAGATCCTGCAGTGAAGCGGAATGACGTCGCTTGTTCGTGGAGTCTTTGCTCTGGAGGAGAGGCCCGTGGCGTTGACCCTGAGCAGAGGCGCCCTGGATTCGAACCCAGGATTTATTCCAAGCCTCTCCACCCACCCACCCCCTTTTGGTTTGTGACTCAGAGGAAATAATGAAATTGCTGGTCCGCTGCAGAACGAAGGTTGCGGAGGCCATTTCCCCGTGCCGTCTAGAGTCCATGCTTGGGCCTCCCCCTGAGGCTTGAAAGAGCTGAAGGGGAAAGGCCAACGTTTCGGAACACAACGGTTGCGTGGTTGTGCAGCCCTTTGAGAACGCACAAAACGATGTTTGAAGAGCTATCGAAGAAATGGCGGCAAACTGCTAAGAGTTTCCCGGGACCACATACTGGAGCGATTCAGGGTGAAGTTATTTCTCAACCTGCCGTCTGCTCCCAGTTACTGGCATCTAGAGGTTATGGGGCAGACACTCGAAGTTGTTTTGTGGCTGTATTGAAAGTTCTAAGCGGGAACGTTAGGGAGGTCGAGGTCAGGTTTTTATTACATAAACATGGAACGTTTTGGAGGTTTGGCGTTTGTGCGCAATTTCCCCGTCAAAATGGCAGGCAGGCATACTGTGTCGGCAATAGACGTTGTAAGCAACATTCTTTCTTCACACGGGGCCAAAGGAAAACGTTAGTGTTCTGTTTATTAATTAAAGGGGATTGTTTTTATTCTTAGTTTTGTTCAAGTCTAGTCAGCAGCCTCAGAATGGGTCCCAAGAATTGCACCTAACCGATGGTTTCTAATCGACGCAGCTGTCTCTGTCCTATTTAACAGAAGGGAAACTGAGACTCTCATCCCTTTGTAAGCGTCTCCTTTCCCGTCAAGGTAGCCTGTCTCCTGTTGTTTGTGTGCGTGGAATCCAGATTCCTCAAAATTTCTTCCCTTTTCAAACCTGTTTCTAGTCCTCATGAGTGAGGCTGGCAATACCACGGAATGTGTGCCTGTGTTTTCTGTTGGGAGCCAGTGTGGTAAAATGGTTAAGAGTGTTAAGACTTGGACAGGGTTCCCCAAGGGGGTGCCCGCCACTACTTCCCTTGGCACCCTCTGAGCTTTTCAGAAAGTGGGTGGGGCCATTGTAGAGCAGGGCCTTGTTATCGGCGGCCCTCTTTCAATTGACAGGGTTTCCTGCTATTGGGATCAGGAGGGCTGGTAAGCACCCGGGCTCTCCTTAGTCAGTGTGTGGTTTCGTTCCCCCTTCAGGATTTCCTTCTTGCAAGGAAGGGGGTATTCCACTTGGCTCCACCCCCTGGGGCAGCCATTTTGGGTTTGGCTCCGTTTCCCGTGGCAGACATTTTAGGGTGGCCATCCCTACCCTCTCTTCAAAATTCCTAAAGTCCCAGCGTGCTTAAAAAGGTTGGGGGTCTGTGGATGAGAAACGCAGCAGACCCAAGTTCGAATCCCCATTCTGCCGTGGGAGCTGGCTGGGTGACTTTGGGCCGCTCACACCCTCTCAACTGAACCTGCCGCACAGGGTTGGTGGTGTAAGGTAAGAGGAGGAGGATGTTAGCCACCTTGGGGAGAAGACGGGGGCATCAGTGAAGCGAATAAATAAAAGCTTCAATTTCTGGAGGGAAGAGTAAGATTTTGTACCCAGGTTGCAGTTTCTGTGTGGCCTGGCTCTCCAGCCTTTGACTCATCTGCTAAACCATGACAGGCCCTAAATTTTCTTCCTTCTTACTTCACCGCTTCTTTTCCTCCCCCTTCCTCTTCTGGTAAAGATTCAGTTTGCTCAAAGGTTTCTTATATGTCATTGGTTTGGCTATAGAATATTATCTTTCCTGAGGCTGTTTATTTACTGACTGTGTTTACATCCCACCTTTCTCCTCCGTGGGACCCCAAAGTGGCTTCTATCATTCTCCTCTAGTCCATTTTTATCCCCACAACAACCCTGCCAGGTAGGTTCGGCTGAGAGGGTGTGACTAGTCAGCATGGTGAGGTCGTGGGATACAGGTGACCAATAGTTAAAAGTTGAGGGTAATGTTTTGCATCTCTTTCTCCCCACCCCAGAGGGTCCTGTCCAGGCAGGTTTGGAGACAGAGGCCTGAGGAGCAGCAATACAGACGCTCAGTAGATGTGGTCAACTTGTGCAGGTAAGCCGCCTTCCCTCACCATTCCTTTCCCTGAGGTGGTCTGGGCTGCATCAAGCCCTTTGGAGTTCCGTTCTCTTTCGTGGGTGCCCTGCTGCCTGCTTGACCAGGGGTCCCTTTCCTGATGCCTACCAGATGTTTCTAGAAAGTGGGCAAGGTCGGGTGGGGCTTTTGTCCAGCAGGGCTTCTGACTGGCCACTGGGTTATGATTGGCTGGTTCCACCTCTTTCAGCAGCCATTTTGTGGCAGCCATTTTGTGACTGCGCCCCACCACTCTGCGAAGGAATTCTGAAGGCATTCGCAGGCTCAAAACGGGTTGGGGTACCCGGGTCGAGACCATCCCGCTTAGGTCTCTATGGCAATGCGGCCCGCTTCCAGGCCCACCAAGTCTCCATGGCAACGTTGGCTGTATGTAGGCCAGTCACTACTTTTCGCTTGTGTCTCTAAGGCAACGGTGGCTCTATCTAGGCCAACCACGACTTCTGGCTCCGGTCCCTATGGCAACCTCGGATCTAGTTGCCTCTAGTCTGGCATGTTTCCATGGCAGCACACGCTAAGCTTAGTTCTGTTGCCGGTCAGCCTCTTCTAGAGCCTAGCTGGCTTTGGCTCCTGGCCTTCTAGAACTTTCTCTTGGCCCACTGCTTGGTTTCTTATGATTTATCATTCCCCCTCACCCCAAAGGTATATCATAAAAGCAGTCTTATCCCCAGCTTTAAAAATAAGTCTAGAACTTGGGATGACAGCCTCCAAGTGGAAACTGGGGATCCCCTGGAATTACAGCTCATCTCCAGACGACAGAGATCTGTTGGAATGGCTGCTTTGGAGGGTGAACCCTGCGGCATGGTACCCCACTGAGGGCCCTCTCGTGTGCCAGACTCCAGCCCCGAGATCTCCTGGAATTTCCCAACCTGGTGCTGACAACGCTACTGTAGAACTCTGCAGTATCCTGACACTGTTGTCCAGAACTGAAGCACAACTTAACCAGACTTTTCAGACTGCATTTGACTTACCTATGGCTCGTCTGCTCTAGATGCTTCTCAGGTCTCCGTAGCGACGCTAACTGAGCTAGGCCTCTGGCTTCAAAGGGCAGCCATGTTCTTCAGCAGCAGAAAAGCTAGATTTGAGTCCAGTAGCCCCTTAGAGATAGGGGCTGTGGTGGCTCAAGTGGTTAAGACGCTGAGCCGCAGCAGTACGAGACCCGAGTGCCGCAGGACGGAGTGAGCTCCCGTCTCTGGTCCCAGCTCCTGCCGACCTAGCAGTTCGAAAGCAAGACATTGCAAGTGGATAAATAGGTACCGCTTCGGTGGGAAGGGAACAGCGTTCCGTGCGCCTCGGTATCTAGTCATGCCGGCCACATGGCCACGGAAACGTCTTCGGACAGCGCTGGCTCTTCGGCTTGGAAACGGAGATGAGCGCCGCATCCCTAGAGTCGGATTTGACTGGCTTTCGAGCAAGGGGAACCTTTACCTAGCCCCTTAAAAGGTAAAGGTTCCCTTGCTCAAAAGCCAGTCGAATCCGACTCTAAGGTTGCGGTGCTCATCTGTTTCAAAGCCGAAGAGCCAGCACTGTCCGAAGACATTTCCGCCCCTTAGACACCAACAAAATTTGGGGGATATGAGTCTTGACCAGCAATCACCTGTTCCACAGGTCTTCTCTTAGTCATGGTGACATTATCTCTCTGTTGGGCTTTGGGCCTTCTGCAGTCTCCTTTCTAGACTCTCGAGCCGCTGGTTCTCCAGAGACTTTCGTGATCTGACTCCCACAGTCATTAATATTGTCTGCCAGGCACCCTGAGCGTCTGTGGCACCCAGCACAGTTTCATAGGCAAAAACAAAGAGGCCCGTGCCTCCAAGGGGCTTGCAGTTTTATTTAATTCACCTACAACCCACCTTTCTCCCCAATGGAGACCCAAGGTGGCTCACATCGCTCTCCTCTCCTCCGTTTGTACCTCACGCCAACCCTGTGAGGTAGGCTAGGCTGAGCAAGGGGGACTGGCCCAAGGTCACCCAGCCGGCTTCCGTGGCAGAGTGGGGATTTGAATTCAGGCCTCCCAGGTCCCACTCCAGCACTCTAACCACTCCATGACGCTAACCAGCGTTCCCTCTAAGCTTTTTTGGCCTCTGGCTCACACATTTTTGTCTTCGCTCGGGAAGGAGGGCTCCAGAGCGAACCGATTTATGCAGCAGCCAAATCGCTCGCTCACAACTTGAATGCCAGGAGCTCACAAAGCAGAATTTTTGCTCACAAGACTCCACAGCTTAGAGGGAGCATTGACGCGAACTCTCATATTTCAATTTAAATTAGACGGTGGTGGGGAGCGATACGAGTGAAGAGTCTTGTGGCAGTACAAATACCAACAGGCGCCTCGTACTTTTAAGTTTACATAATTCAGAGAACACCTAGATTTCAGTCCAGTCACATCTTAGAGACTGACAAGATTTTCAGGGTATGAGCTTTTGAGAGGAGCTGAGGGGAGGGAGTTTTGACTCTGACAAGCTACCCCGAAAATGTTGTTGGGCTCTCAGGCGCTCACTGGACTCGAATGCCGGCTCTTCTGTGGCAGTCCAAAATGGCTGCCCTCTGAAAGCGTGAGTCAGAGAGAACTTTTTCAGACGCCTGAAGTGTTATTCTCAGTGGGCAGAAGTGTGTGCATGCGTCTGAGGAAGTGGGAGCTCACGAGAGCTTACGCCACAATCAGTTTTTATCTATTTATAATATTTTTATCCCACGAGCTGTGTGCCTGTTCTCTGTCCTCTTGCTTGAGCCTCACAACCGACTTCTGAGGGGGACACAGTTTCGCGTCCTTTTGTTTTGTTTAAAGCAGATTAGCTGGGCGTGATGGGCAGGCGTGCAGGCCTGGCCAGGCCTGGCTCCAAGTGAATCAGCCAACCTCCAGGTGGGGCCTGGAGATCTCCCAGAATTACAATGGCTCTCCTGACTGCAGAGATCAGTTCCCCCGGAGAAAAAGGCTGCTCTGGAGGGTGGATTCTGTGGTGTTAGACCCCACTGAATTCCCTCCCCGGATCCTGCTCTCCACAGGGGCCACCTCCCAAATCTCCAGGAACTTCACAACTCAGAGTTGGCAACACTAGCTCCAAGCAAGGGCTTCCTAGGCCAGGGGAGGAGGCAGAAGGGTCTGAGGTTGTGAGCTCCCCTGGTGCAGTGGTTAAGTGCACAGACTCTAATCTGGGAGAACCGGGTTTGATTCCCCCCACTCCTCCACTTGCAGCTGCTGGATGACCTTGGGCAAGCCATCGTTCTGTCAGAGCTGTTCTTGAAAAAGAGCAGTTTCGGTTAGAGCTCTCTCAGCCCCGCCTCCCTCACAGGGTGTCTGTTGTGGGGAGGGGAAGGGAAAGGAGTTCGTCAGCCGCTCTGAGACACCTTTGGGTAGTGAAGGGCGGGGGGTAGAAATCCAATCACCTTTTCTTCTTCTTCAGCTGCAGCTATTTGCAAAAGAAACTTAAAATCTTGGTTTATCAGAAACTGCAGGAGAAATGGTAGTGCACGGCAGTGTTCCCTCTAAGCTGAGTTTGTGTGAGCTAGCTCACAGTTTTTTAGCCTCCAGCTCACAGATTTTTGTCTTAGGAAGGATGGCTCCAGAGCAAACGTAATTTATGCTACAGCCAAATGGCTCACTCACAACTTTAATGCCAGTAGCTCACAAAATAGAATTTTTGCTCACAAGACTCCACAGCTTAGATGGCACGGTGTGTGTGTGTGTGGGGCGGCTTTGGAACTGGGCCTCTTCGGGCCAGTTCTGTCAGCCTCGAACAGGGCTTTGGTAAAAACGGCCCACTTTTAGAAACCAAGCCAGTGTTGCATAGCTTTGGGAGGGGCGGGAACCCTTTCCCCTGAAGCCGGCAGTTTCTCAAGTCGTGGGAGGGGGCTTTCTTTTCCATTTTAAAAGAAACCAATCCGCAGGGGCAGGTGAATTTCCCCCCTCCTGGCCCTGCGTTCTTTTTCCCTGGGCTGTGTGCTGGTTCCCCCCCCCCCCCCCCCGCCGCCTCTCCCGGCAATCTGCTGACCTCAGCCTCCGTGACTCACCCTCAAATCCATCCTTCTTGTCCTCTTGTTTGTGCTCTGCTTTCGGGCCTTTGTTCTCTTTCCACCCTCCTCCCCTGCCCCCTCCATCTTAGGCTGCATGGAAAGAGAGCGCCCGCCCGACTCGTCTCCCAAGATCCGGTGAATCTAAACTTGTTCTTGCCTCTCTCTCTCTCCCCGTCTCCCAGTTCAGTAACTGGAAAAATCCATTTTTGTTTTCCGGTCTTCCTTGCGCGTTTCTCTCCAGATCTTGGCTGCATTTCACACTGACAAGCGGAGACACAGCAAATGTCGGAATTGTCCATCCGTTTAGAGGTCCAACGTGGTGCCTTGCAGGGAGTACAGGGAGGCAGGAGACGTTCCCGGATTTTGTGTCGCTTGCAGAGTGTCAATCTCTTCTTTTCTTCCTGATTTTCTTTTCTTTACGCCCTTACATTCTCTGTGCTTCTAGGCCTTAAACTTGTGCCGCTAACTAGGTGGAGTAATACTCTCCGAAATACTCCTGTGCGCGTGCAGACTGTCTTTTGTGTACCGCTTGAGGGGACTATGCCGCCAGTGCTACAGGAGCATGTTTCCAAGCCAGAGGCTTCAGTTTCCAAGTGGTCCAGAACAGTGTTCCCTCTCAGCTGAGTTAGTGTGAGCCCGCTCACCATTTTCTAGCCTCTGGCTCACACATTTCTGTCTTCGCTCAGGAAGGAGGGCTCCAGAGCAAGCTAATTTATGCAGCAGCCAAATCGCTGGCTCACAACTTGAATGCCAGGAGCTCACAAAGTGGAATTTTTGCGCACAGGACTCCACAGCTTAGAGGGAGCCTTGGTCCAGAACCCCAGCGCCCTTCAGAAATGGTCTGTGCTGCGTTCATTCCCAAGGGCTTCCTCTCCTCGAGGGGAGGCGCAGTGCCGTCAGAGGACAAATCCATTGTGGGGACTTTTGCGCCCAAGAGTAAATATAGATGGCTCTGTGTGTACTTTGTGGCCACGAGGTCTCTGTGATCTGGGGAGAAGCGGGAGGTGGCGTTATCTTTGCATAGGCGAGACAGCAGAGGCTTCTCAGGGGTCCAGTGCTGGGGCAAAAACAGTCGACACGACAGAGTTAAGTGAGGGAATGAGAGCCTGACTTAAGAAGGGGCTGAATGTTTGCCGGGAAACATCGAAGCACAGAAACTGGGGCAGTTGGACCGGGGTGTGGGTCCAAGCAAGTCCAGGGCCTCTTGGCGTCTGTGATGTATAACCGCTTAGAGTTCTCCCCCAGGGACTCTTCCGTTTTTTGTGGGCAAAGGCACCGTTCGGTGGCTGTTCCTTTCCACATCCGCATCTACGCTGCCCCGTTTGCCGTTGTCCAGGTTCCCCCCCCTCCCTGCCACACCGCCGCCTCTCCCTCCCCCTTCCCCCTCTTCTTTCTCGCTCCGCCGTCATCCTGTTTCCATAGAAACTCCCTTTCCGTTTGGATACTCCCGTCACAGCCAGGAAGGGATTGTGTGTGTGCGTGTGTGAGATCCCCTCAAGGAATTGTTGTTGTCATTGTGTGGCGCACACACACACACACACACACACACACACACCAGTGCCCAGGCACAACCTCAGTTTCCATGCCTGCCCAGAGTCCCTTCAGCCTCTGCGTACCCTCAGGTTGGCGTGAGGGTGGGACTCTCACAGACGGAGGCACACAAAAGAGACGAGAGAGGGTGTGGGGCAGAAGCGGAGGGTGTCTGCCGGAGACGGGGAGGCCACCGTGACATGCACGCTCCCCCCCCCTTTCATACACACCCCTCTCGAGGGGATGAAGTGGGCTTTCAGTGACCAGTCGAAGCGCCGGAGACCAGGCAGGGTGCCAGGCCTTGGCGCGGAGCACCGCCAGGCCGAAAGGGACCCAGTCAAGCATCCTGGGCGATGGGGCGAGCCGCTCAAACCGGCCTCGGTGCCTGCTCTGGAGAGCGGGAGGGAGGGGGCCGGGCGAGCACGTCGTCGGCTGTTAATCCGAGCTGGCACGGGGCTCCGTTTCCTTCAGCCATTTTAGGCTGCCAGCCGAGGGAAGTCCTGGAGCAAAATGGCTCCCGAAAGGGGGGGAAGGAAGTTTGGGAGGGGAGGGAGGCCGAGAAGCTGGCCCCGGCAGGGAAGAGGGCGAGGAGGGCTCAGGTCCTCCGTCTGCCGTGCCAGGCCCCGGGAAGGCCGGGTCATGCCCTCCTGTTTCACTCACGTGGCAGAAAACCGGGCCTTCTGGTCCCCAGGGTTTGGCTGCTTTCTCCCTTTCCCGCGCCGCAGACATGAGGAACCAGTTGGCAAGAAATGCCACCCAACTGCCATGAGGCTGCTTTCCCAGACGCCCCACCCCCCCCAAGTCCCAGTTCCGCGACTTCTCCTCGAAGTGCTCCTGAGGAGCCGGACTCCACTGAGGCCTGAACGCCCACGCTCACGTACCCGTTTGTTTATACCCTTCCTTCCTCCCCCGCTGGGGATGCAAAGTGGCTTTTCGACCATCGCTCGTTCCCGCCTCCATTTTCTGACAACCGCCCTATGAGGTAGGCCAGGCTGAGAGACGGAGATGGGACCAAGCGCACCCAAGGTAGAAGTGGGGATTCGAACCCGGATCGCCTAGGGTCACGGTCTGCCACTCTGTCCACTGCACTGCACCCAGTAGATTCACCGTTCAAGCGCCTGAGCCAGCCCCTCCTCCTGTAACCATTAGGCAGAACTGCCTCAAAGCCTTTATGTCCGGTCACTGTCTTTTCACTTGTTGGATTCCTCTCTCTCATCAGGAAGTCATGTGCTCCTGGCTTGCCTTCCTCACAGAGATTGCCTTATTTTATTTTATTTACTTCATTTATACCTCACCTTTCTCTGCAATGGGGACCCAAGGCGGCTTTACCTAATTTCCCTCACCTCCACTTTAGCTTCACAACCACCCTGTGAGGTAGGTTAGGCTGAGTGTGTGTGACTGGAATCATAGAATTGGAAGGGACCTCCAGGGTCACCCAGTCCACCCCCCTGCACAATGCAGAAAATTCACAAATACCTCCCCCACCACACACCCCCAGTGACTCCTGCTCCATGACCAGAAGATGGTAAAAAAACCCCTCCAGATCCCCGGCCAAACTGGCTTGGAGAAAAATTGCTTCCTGACGCCAAAGCGGCGATCAGCATTTCCGTGGGCGTGTAAGAAAGGGCCACGAGAGCTAAGCACTGAGGCAACCCTTCCTGCCCTCCCTCTCGTGATCTGCCTGAGTTCACAGAATCCGCATGGCTGTCCGATGGCCATCTAGCCTCTGCTTTAAAAAACCTCCAAAGGAAGAGAGATCGCCACCTCCCGAGGA